GTTACGAACAGCTCCGTATGCAGAATATTGCTTTGAGTTACAAACCGTGCTTTGACTTACGAACGGAAAAAACACCTTTCCTGCCCTTTTTTTTAACCTAAGTTCATCTTAGGTCAAAAGATGAAAAAAAAAATCTCCCCCTAGTGGTAGAGTACAGATTAACCGGCTTTGCATTAGTTCCTATGGGAACTAATGCTTTCACTTAAGAACCATACCTTGACATAAGGACAAAAAACAGCCAGAACAGATTAATCAGTTTTTAATGCATTCCTGTGGGAAATGCTTTGACTTAAGAACGTTTTGACTTACAGCCACCGTTCCAATATGGTTTAAGTTCAAGTCAAGGCACCACTGTATCTGTTCCCTCTCTCTCTAACTAACCCTATCTGACTACTCCTTCTCCTGTCAAGCCTCATGTAGCTGCTGACTCCACCTCTCCAGTCCTCATAGCTTCATGCAGATCAGCTAATGAATATGAATAGCATGAGTGATGTGGGTGATCGTCACAGGAACCAATTATGAACCTGCAATGTTTTGCGCAATTGACGGCGTACTGATTGATTAACAGGCAGCCCTTTGCCTACAGATATGGGGAATCACAACTGATTGAATATTTCCTGAAGCAAAACCTAAAATCACCAGACTTCAAGCCAATTCCTCAAGTTTCACTTTTGGAACTTTTGTTTAACTTCAGATCCTACACGTTTAATATCTACTCAGGATGATTTCTTGACTTGAAACAACTTCTAATGAAAATGAAAGAAGAAAGTGCCAAAGCAGAATTGCAGTTGAATATAAATATGACAAAAATAATGACTACAGAAATATCACATAACTTCAGTGTTGACAAAAAAGAACTTGAATTTGTTAAATATTTTGTATACTTCTGTTCACCCATCAGTCCAAATAGAGACTGCGGCCAAGAAATTAGAAGACTGAAACTTGGAAGGGCAGTAATGAAGGAATTAGAAAACATCCTCAAATGTAAGGATGTGTCACTGAAGATCAAGACCAGGATCATCCGAACTCTTGTATTCCCAATTGCTATGCATGAAACCTGGATAGTGAAGAAAACTGACAGGAAGAAAATTAATTCATTTAAGTTGCTGAAGGAGAGCTTTGTGGATACCGTGACCTGCCAGAACAAGTGGGTTCTAGATCAATCAAGTGCGAGCTATGTCTGGAGCCTAAATGATGAAACTGAGACTGTCATTTGGGCACATCATGAAAACGCTAGATTCTGATGGCAGCAGGAAAAGAGGAAGGCCAAATATGAGGTAGATTGGCTCTATCAAGAAAACCAAGGCCTTGTGTTGGAAAATTTTGAGCAGCGCTGTTGAGGACAGGGCATTTTGGAGATAGGGTTGTCATGAGTTGGAAGTGACTTGATGGCAGATAATAAAAACAATTTCTTGACTCAGGGCATCCACCACCCCACCCACCCCTGCCTTTTCTTACTGCACCAGCTCTGAAATGCCAACCTGATGAAGAGTAGTAAACACTCATCTTGTTATAGAAACTTCAATGGGTCCAAAATGCAGCACCTAGATTGCTGACTGGTGCTGGTTACAGGGATCACATAACTCCTGTTATAGCAGCTCTATTGGCTGCTGATCAGTTAACAAGCACAATTCAAAGTTCTGGTTTTAACCTACAAAGCCTTAAGTGGCCTGAGTCCAAGCTATCTCAGAAACTATATGAGCCAGCTCGAGTGTTAAGATAATGAGAAGAGTCCCGCCACCTTCACAGGTGTGTCTGATGGGGACACAGGAGAGAGCCTTCTCTGTTGCTGCTTTGGACTTTGGAACTCCCTCCCACAGAAGGCCAGACTGGCCCCAACTTTGCTGTCCTCCCACAAGCAGGCAAATACCTTATTCCTTCAGGCAAGCCTTCCCTCAGTAACTAGCTACCTGTGTGTGATTTTTTAAAAGATAGATTGCTATGCATTTGATTGGATTTTTGGTTCTACTTGTGTTTTCCATTTTTAAGGTTTCCATTTCTCTTTACTTACATCCTCTCTCAATCAAGTTCCTTTCGCTCCCATCATCATGGAATCGAATCCCAGAACAAGACTGGATCTCCTCTTTTCTCTCATAACCCATCGTCCATTTTCTATACTCTCTGACTCCTCCCTTCTTCTTGACACTTCATGGCTGTTAATCAATTAGTTTCAAGGACTTGACACTTCATGGCTGTTAACCAATTACTGTAGTTTCAAGGCGCTCTAAAACCTTCCTCCTCCCTCAATTCCCATGAAAGTCCAGGTGTTTTATCTCTTCCTCAATTAGCTCAGAATGTTGTCTTCCACTCAGAATGTTGAGTCTTCCACGGCCCCTTCCACAGCTCTATCTTGAACTGCTGTACCGATCTTCAGAAAAACACTCTCATAGCACTTAGAAAAACACATTCCAATGTCTCTCAAATCATCTTCACAGAGAACCTATCTGACTCCATCTTACATTTCTCTGACTACATATCCCATTATCATGCCTTCCTATAGCCTGTTAATAATGTAAGATGTTTACTCATTGTTAGCACTTTTAAATATTGTCTTTTAATGATGTTAACCACCATTGTATACTAATCGTTTTCAATTTTAAATATTGTTTTTCATTGTTTTAAGCCACCTTGGGTTCTTTTCAGCAGAAAGGTGGTGTTAAATAAATAAATAAATAAGTAAATCAATCAATCAATCAATCAATCAATCATTAAGTCGTGTCCGACTCTTTGTGACCCCATGGACGAGAGCACGCCAGGCCTTCCTGTCTTCCACTGCTTCCCGGAGTTGGGTCAAAGTCATGTTGGTAACTTCAGTGACACTGTCCATCCATCTCGTCCTCTGTTGTCCCCTTCTCGTCCTGCCTTCACACTTTCCCAACACCAGGGTCTTTTCCAGGGATTCTTCTCTTCTCATGAGAAATGGCCAAAGTATTGGAGCCTCAGCTTCAGGATCTGTCCTTCCAGGGAGCACTCAGGCTTGATTTCCTTTAGAATGGATAGGTTTGTTCTCTTTGCAGTCCAGGGGGCTCTCAAGAGTCTCCTCTGGCACCACAATTCAAAAGCATCAATTCTTCGGCAGTCAGCCTTCTTTACGGTCTCACTTCCATACATCGCTACTGGAAAAACCATAGCTTTGACTATGCGGACCTTTGTTGGCAAGGTGATGTCTCTTCTTTTTAAGATACTGTCTAGATTTGTCATCACTTTCCTCCCAAGAAGCAGGCGTCTTTTAATTTCGCGGCTGCTGTCACCATGTGCAGTGATCATGGAGCCCAAGAAGGTAAAATCTGTCACGGCTTCCATATCTTCCCCTTCTATTTGCCAGGAGGGGAAGTGGTCAGTGGCCATGATCTTAGTTCTTTTGATGTTGAGCTTCAGACCATTTTTTGCACTCTCCTCTTTCACCCTCATTAAGAGGTTCTTTAATTCCTCCTCACTTTAATATAGAAGTAGCCTTAATTAGGTATGATTCAGTGTCAAATTTGGATTTTGTCAGTGGATTTTTGGTTTTTTGTTTTGTTTGTTTCAGCTTCTTATTTTGTTCCACTCTCTTTATAAATTATACATCCTGAATGCTCTGGCCAAATACATCGATAGATCAATAGATTACTGCTATCAGTGCCATCATGTACCTGAGGAAGGAGATTTTAATCCATGAAAGCTAATGCTGAAACTGATCTCTAAAGTATTTGAGATACTACAGTATTGTGTCATTTCCTCCTAATTTTCCCCTTTAATTTTGGCAACACACCATCAGTAAATAAAAGAACCATGATGCTGTCCAACATCCAGGAGAAGTGGAAAAAAAGGAGCAGTTTTCAGCAGGAAAACTCTGATATCAACAGATTCTAGTCCCAGGTAAGAGTGGACACGACAGCAGCCTACTAGCAGCTAAAATCTATCAACACTTGCCCCAGAGAAAGCTCTTAAAAACAGTGTGGAGTGCTCATAAATTAAAAAAAATAGGATTAGGCTGTTGACAGTCTTTGGCAGCCAGAAAAGAAATACTAGACAACCTAAAGCCAACGTCCCTGACCTTTCCAGAAGCCTACCAATTACTTAGCGGGATTCTCCTCAGATCCTCTCAGCCACCCTCGGCTCCCCCTCCCAAAACTCAGATCAAACTCCTACAAAGGTTTCTCATCCGCACTGGCAGCCTGGACAGCAAAGCCTTTCCTCAACTCCGAATTGGCTGTCCGCTCATCCCGCCCCCCGCGCCCCCGACCCAATCGCCTCGCGCCTTCCTTCCTTCCCCCGCTTTCTTCGGACACCCCCTTGTTTGACCCTCTCATGTTGGACAATCCCCGTGTCAGTCGCCGGATTGGCCTCCCTCTTCCCTGGAGGTCGCGGCGGCTCTCTCCTCGTCCCACCCTCCAAAGTAAGCCTGCGTTCCGAGGCGCTCCTCGATTGGCTGCTCGGAGGCTGTCAGTTAGCCCTTCGGCCGGGCTCCTCCAACGGTTGTTCCAACTGTCTCCGCTCCCTTTCCCCGCTGCCGGGCGCTTGCTCTTGGCCCCGCCCCTTGCTTGGCTTCGGAACTCTCCTGTCTTTGGAGCTCGAGCGCTTCTCAGGCAAGTTGCGCTGCGGGTTGTGGGGCGGAAGATTCGCGCCCTGCGTCGCCGTTGCGTTGCGCCGACGGGGCTCCGAGAAAGAGGAAGCGGTTTCCCTCAAGTAGCGGTAGAAGAAGAAGAAGAGGAGGAGGAGGAGCGGCCGCCACAACTTGTCCCAGCGCCGGCGTGACGAGGATGTCGGCGGAAGAAGCGCGGGGGGCTCCCGACGGCGGCTGAGGAAAGCCGCGGAGCCCGGCCTCCCTCGCTTCGTCCCTCCCTCCCTCCGTCCGTCGTCCTTTCCCTTCAAGTCTCCGATAAGCTCCGGCTCATGACAGCCAGCTCTAGGCGGGGCGGCCCAGGCGACGGCGA